TGGGGCCTTCAGGCGCGGGTAAAAGCTCGCTTCTCGACTGTATTTCAGGTCGCAATAACGCCATCAAAGGCCAAGTGACAGTGAACGGGACTCCATGGAATAAGAAACTCAAACGCTTTGCAGCGTACGTGATGCAGGAGGATCTATTCCATGCCACGCTGACAGTTAGAGAGCATTTGATCCTGCAGGCGAGACTGAGGATGAGTGGGTCTTTCAGTCGTCAACAGTATCTCGGACGGGTGGATACGCTACTAGAAGAGTTTGGATTATCCAAGAGCAAAGATACTCTTATCGGTGGCTGGATGCAACGAGGTATTTCCGGTGGCGAGAGGAAAAGGTTGGCTCTAGCGACGGAATTGTTGACGAACCCATCAGTGTTATTTGCCGATGAACCAACGTCTGGACTCGATAGTTTCATGGCAAAATCGGTAGTACAGCAGCTGAGAAGACTTGCAGTGCACGAAGGACGCACAGTAGTGGCAACGATCCATCAACCGTCGTCCGAGGTATTCGCGTTGTTCGATCGGTTGGAGCTACTAGCGGATGGTGCGACGATTTATCAAGGAAAAGCGGTCGATGTAGTGGACTATTTTGCCACTTTTGGCTTTGAATGTCCGACTTTTATGAATCCGGCGGACTATTTTATGGAGAAGATCGTCATAGTTGATGCTGATACAGATCAAGCTGGTGTGGAGCGGGTACGTGCGTTGAAAGAAGCTTGGAAGACACACGCACTGCAACGGAACGAAGGAATCGAAGTCGTCAACCCGCAGGATATTGGCTCTAGAACGAGCAAAGATGTGGCTACATCTCATGAATTAGTGGATTTTGAAGACTCCAGAGCGTCTGTCTGGGGTCAAATTCGCGTGTTAGCGACTCGAAACGCCCTGAGGTTACTCCGTGATAAGACAGCATTGAGATTGCAGAGCGTTCAGACTCTAGTGACCACTCTGCTGGTCGGTATTATCTTCTTCCAGCTGACACTGGACCAACAAGGCGTATCGAATTTCTCCGGTGCCTTCTTCTACATCGTAACGGAGCAAGTATACGGAGCTTCCATGCCAGCCATCATGTCCGTGCCAATGGAGCTCCCTATCGTATACCGTGAGTACGATATCGGTCTCTACTCCGTTGCATCGTGGTATGCGGCAAAGAACCTGTGTGAGCTACCTCAGCAGGTTATTCTCCCTATTATCAGCCTGTTGCCGCTGTATTTCTTAGTGGGAATTGGCCACGACTTCAACATGTACATCCAGATGCAACTCGTGCTGATACTGCTGCACAGCTCGTGTGTGGCCTTCGGTTACTGCATTTCGTGCGTCTGTCGACGTATCGACATCGCCCCACTCGCAGGGAACATCGTGCTGATGCCTCTTCTGTTACTTGGTGGTCTCTTCATCGACCCGAGTGACGTGCCTGGTGTGCTGCGCTGGGTTCAGTACATCACGCCTTTCCGGTATGGTTACTACGGCCTCATGCGCGTATTCTGGCGACAAGTTGACGAGATCTCGTGCGACGAC